GGACATGAACTTTCCTCAGAACCTGGAACCACTCCACAAATAATCCTCACATAGGAGACACTAGTGACGATGTTTCAGTCCGTCTTGGACCATTAACTAGTGGCACAATCACTGAATCTGGTACCGGCATTGTACCTATTCTTTCAGGCCCTTCTGACCCCCCTCCCTTACTTGGACTCTTAGAGCTTCCTTTTGTTTCATTTTCCGCACAGCTTGCGACCACATTAATGAAACCCCGTGCAGCAATGTGCTTTAAATTATCATTCACAGGGGAGCGCTAAACTATCCCATAAGGATCAGTGTCCATGGAAATGGAGGCAATTAAATTCGATTCATGAAAAAGAGTAGCAGCTTCAAATTTCTTGGGTTGAGATTATTATAATCAAAAAGAAGCGCTAAACCACAAGGGCTATACAGCGCTGCTTGGGTTGAGAGCCCTTCCCTTCCCTTCGAAGGGAAATGGACTTTAAAACAGCTGATCTGAGACTATCTCCCACTTCCTGTGGACGGTCCGTGTTGATCCTGAAAAAAAAGTCAAGAAGAGCTAAACCCACAAGGGTCATACAGAACCCGAAGAATTAGTAGTAATTAGGCTTGATCCAAGTAATGTGTTTGCAATAATTCTTAGATCAAGAGCCCTTCAACATCAAGGCACTTTAGAACTAGACCGATAGCAGTAACATCCCATATCATAAAAATCTTTGAAAGGGTCCTAAGAAGCAAGATCGCCACCCATTTAGATACCCACCAGTTACACAACCCAGGGCAACATGGGTTTAGAACAGGTCGCTCCTGCCTGTCTCAGCTACTGGATCACTACGACAAGGTCCTAGATGCACTAGAAGACAAAATGAATGCGGACGTAATATATACAGACTTTGCAAAAGCCTTCGACAAGTGTGACCATGGTGTAATAGCGCACAAAATGCATACTAAAGGAATAACAGGAAAAGTTGGTAGATGGATCTATAATTTCCTCACAAACAACACAAAGAGTAGTAGTCAACAGAGTAAAGTCTGAGGCGGCTACGGTGAAAAGCTCTGTTCCACAAGGCACAGTACTCGCTCCAATCTCGTTTCTCATCCTCATATCTGACATAGACAAGGATGTCAGCCACAGCACCGTGTCTTGCTTTGCATTATTATTATTATAATCAAGGGGAAGCGCTAAACCCGGAGGATTATACAGCGCCTGGGGGGGGGGGATGTGGAAGGCATTCAGGCTTAATTCGGGGAACTGGAGCACAGATCCAATTTCCTAAATCAAGAGCCCCTCACCAACATCAAGGAACCTTCCTTGAGGGGTCTTGCTTTGCAGATGACACCCGAATCTGCATGACAGTGTCTTCCATTGCAGACACTGCAAGGCTCCAGGCAGACATCAACCAAATCTTTCAGTGGGCTGCAGAAAACAATATGAAGTTCAACGATGAGAAATTTCAATTACTCTGATATGGTAAACATGAGGAAATTAAAACTTCATCAGAGTACAAAACATATTCTGGCCACAAAATAGAGCGAAACACCAACGTCAAAGACCTGGGAGTGATCATGTCGGAGGATCTCACCTTCAATTGCATCTGCTAGAAAAATGACAGGATGTATAATGAGAACCTTCAAAACTAGGGATGCCAAGCTCATGATGACACTCTAACAGCACCTTTCAAGGCAGGTGAAATTGCTGACCTAGAAAATGTGCAGAGAACCTTCACAGCGTGCATAACGGAGATAAAACTTCAATTACTGGGAGCGCTTGAAGTTCCTGAACCTGTACTCCCTGGAATGCTGGCGGGAGAGATACATGATTATATACATCTGGAAAATCCTAGAGGGACTAGTACCGAACTTGCACACGAAAATCACAATGAAAGCAAAAGACTTGGCAGACGATGCAACATCCCCCCAATGAAAAGAAGGGGTGTCGCTAGCACGTTAAGACAACACAATAAGTGTCAGGGGCCCGAGACTGTTCAACTTCCTCCCAGCATACATAAGGGAGATTACCAATAGACCCCTGGCAGTCTTCAAGCTGGCACTGGACAAGCACCTAAAGTCGGTACCTACCAGCCGGGCTGTGGCTCGTATGTTGGATTGCGTGCAGCCAGCAGCAACAGCCTGGTTGATCAGGCTCTGATCCACCATGAGGCCTGGTCACAGACCGGGCCACGGGGGCGTTGACCCCCAGAACTCTCTCCAGGAGGTGAGATCAGTGAGATCAATAGGTGATATTACATTCATAGGGAGTGTTAAACCTGTAAAGACCACACAAAACTATATGGAAAGAAGAGAAAAAGATGGAAGGCAGGAGAAGGGTTGAAGGAAGAACTTAGGGCTGGAAAGATGGAGGTTATACCTGGTGAAGCGAACCAGCGTCAGATAGAACAATGAAGACTGCCTGCAGTAAAGGTGGGATGGAAATGGGAGGTAAGCAAGTTGCATCCATAAAAAGCTAGTTTTTATTCCCTGAATGAAGTGCCCTTCTTGGAAAGTCCAGGATGTCACGCTTTTACACCGGCATGATCCTACACTAACTTAATATGTCAAGTAAAAATGTTTCTACGCACTTTATGCTCATTCGGCACTGTTTTGAGCTACCATGATGTAGACTGGGGATGGAGTCCCAACAATAGAAACCAAAAATGGATTCACTGCTCGGATAGCGTCTACAGGCTGGAAAATAGGATTTCAACTTTGGTAATAGGGAGACAATGCAGCCTGAGTTGCAAGGTAATCTATCAGGCATGTTGGTTAAAGGGAAAATAATTGCTTTCTGTACAGGTAATAGGGGTTCAGATGGCGAGATTCTTAGGAAGTATATGAAAAGGCACATGTATGTTGTGTTGAGGTCTATTGGCTTGGAGCCAATATATCCACTGATGTGCAAACTAAGAAATGTTACTGCATCATGGTCTATGGTCATGGTAGAGCAAGGGTCTGAGGCACCAGAAGTAATAGAATGCTGATACTGGGCTCAGAAAATTGTTGCCAAAAACTGATTCCAGATTCCAAGGGCTCAAGGCAATACCATGATCTGTAAAGGAAAAGAAAGTTGCTTGGAATCTAGGCAAATGATCCACCATTGTCCTTTGATCATTAAGTAAACAATGGGGAAAAAGGGCAGTTCCAATAAACAAAGAATTCGTGTACCCATTTTGAACCAGTCACCTCTGCCATCCTAAGATGATCCAGTTTAGATCAGGTGGATTTTAGTAGCCTATGGAAATTGTTAGACCAGGGGCAACAGTGATTCTTTTACCATCAGTCTATTAGATGATTTCAAATTTAGAGGTCATACAGCTCTTGGGAAATGGGAGCCAGTCAAGTTCAATCCGAGAGAACAGGTCCAATTCCTTAAATTAAAGAGCCCCTTGCCAGCATCAAGATGCCTTCCTCACGCTATGTCCGTGGTGTAGGTGGTAGTCACACGTGTGTCCGTAGTGTAGGTGGTAGTCACACTATGTCCGTGGTGTAGGTGGTAGTCACACTATGTCCGTAGTGTAGGTGGTAGTCACACTATGTCCGTGGTGTAGGTGGTAGTCACACTGTGTCCGTAGTGTAGGTGGTAGTCCCACTATGTCCGTAGTGTAGGTGGTAGTCCCACTATGTCCGTAGTGTAGGTGGTAGTCACACTATGTCCGTAGTGTAGGTGGTAGTCACACTATGTCCGTAGTGTAGGTGGTAGTCACACTATGTCCGTGGTGTAGGTGGTAGTCACACTATGTCCGTGGTGTAGGTGGTAGTCACACTGTCCGTGGTGTAGGTGGTAGTCACACTGTGTCCGTAGTGTAGGTGGTAGTCACACTGTGTCCGTAGTGTAGGTGGTAGTCACACTGTGTCCGTGGTGTAGGTGGTAGTCACACTATGTCCGTGGTGTAGGTGGTAGTCACACTATGTCCGTGGTGTAGGTGGTAGTCACACTATGTCCGTGGTGTAGGTGGTAGTCACACTATGTCCGTAGTGTAGGTGGTAGTCACACTGTCCGTGGTGTAGGTGGTAGTCACACTGTCCGTGGTGTAGGTGGTAGTAACACATCTATGTCCGTTGTGTAGGTGGTAGTCACACATCTATGTCTGTTGTGTAGGTGGTAGTCACACATCTATGTCCATGGTGTAGGTGGTAGTCACACACATATGGTTCATAAGACTGCTTCCCCACACTTATAGTGTGGTTGTCAGTTAACACATACCTGCTGTGAATAGGTCATTCCATACTTGTGGTGACAAGTAATTGGTTGATTTATATCCATCATGAGTAGCCAATCCCATACCAGTTCTGTGAGTGGTAGTCAGAGGTACATACCCTAATGGGTCCAGGAACTAGGCCCCAACATTGCTAAGTAAATTACACCAGTACTAGCATTGGATGAGCCACATGAATGTTTTACAAATATTATACCTTAATACTGCATTACATTTAGGGAAGGCACTAAACTCCTAGTAAAAAGGGTCAGATACAGCACTTAGGAAATGGAAAGCAATTAGGTTCAATCCAAGAAGGAAACAGGTTCAATTTCTTGCATCAAGAGCCCCTAAACAGTATCAATTACTATATAATAATAAATTTTATTCATGGGGGTGCTAAACCCATGGGAATCATCTGATTACTGGGAAAATAAGGGGCATTCAGGTTTGACTCGAGGGGAAGACAAGTACGAGTTCTTGGATCAAGAGCCCATTACTAGCATGTAGGAATCTCCCCCCTCAAGGGGTGCCTTGGTGGGCTCTTGATCTAAGGAACTTATCCTCACTTTTCTTAGATCAAACCTAAATACCTCACATTCTACAGGTGCTATATGGTTTTAGCATATCCCTGATTAAAACAGGGTGAGGGGGTGACTTAAAAATTTATTACCAAATGAAGAAAATTTACTTACTTTCCCTCCTCATACATAAAATTAGAATTCTCTAAAGATCACTATCTCCATTTACAGTAACATGAAATACACTTTTGTCTTATAATTAAGAACGAATAATCTGATGCTTAGGAAAAATAAACTACCCTTTACAAAAAATGAATGTGTATTTGCAATTTGCTTTCTACATTATTCATTAAAACAACCTCCCAGGAACACAGTCTTATGATCACCTCCCAAAGCAGAATTAGGAATTAAGAGTTCACAGTATCAATGAGCATTGTACTCAAATCCAATTCAATGTAGTAAAGTACAAAAATACTTTTTTTTTTTTTGTTAAATCACATGAAATTGCAGGTAAAAATTACACTATTGGAAAAATGCCAAGAGTTTCAAATTCACAAAATACATACAACATTCACTTATCGGAACAACGGTATGACGTACGTTAAATGAAGACAAATTCATAAGTACTTGAAGAAAAGCTTTCAATGCTACACTACTGATGACACGTTGTTTTTACTAACAAACTATAATTCCATTTAAAGGAAAAATTCAAGAGTTTAGGCCATAGCTAAGAAAATTACCTTTTTCACTCTGAAAGCCCGAAAGTTTTTCCAGTTGGTGGGGTTCAACACTGAAGGTGAAAAACAGGAAAAAAGTCATGGAATATGCAACTAGGAAAATTCCCAAGCAACAGGACTAAAGAAATAAGAGATTAATAATACTGAACAACCAAGGTCAGATTTAAATAGCATTCAAAACAATAGGATGAAAAATTAATACAATTTAAGATATCTACCTTAAAGCTGCATGACTACCATTACTTTTTTTTGACACCAGCTGCAACTCACTGGGAGCCCACCAAGGTATCCAAAGATTATAATAACACGATTCCAAACAAAGCAGGGAATGGGTGGGGTTTGAACCCATGGCAAGCGAACTGTAAAACTCCAGGCCAGCTGGCTACACTAAGATTCATCCAACTAGGTATATTTATACACCATAGGAAGGTTAGCCTGGGCCCCACTCCAGCTGGCCTGGAGTTTTATAACTTGCTCACCATGAGTTCAAATCCCATCCTGTCCATGGTTTATCCTAAGATCCTTTTACACAGCCAAGGTATCTTAGAATCATTTTCAAATAACTAATGGTTTACTTTTGCTTCAAGACAACCCCGTTGACCCTCAGCGAGTTGATAAGCCGATCTCTTGAATTAATATAAAGTTATTATTGGACCCAGTAAACAACAATCACCTGAACACTTTTATATTAGGCATTGACTTTACATAAAATTAATCCACTGTTAAGGCAGACTATCTCTCACCAGTCACAAGAGTTGACATCAGTAATCACGCTCAGACAATGCCAGTCAAAGCAGTCACAAAATTAAGTCAGACTTGACTAGGAATTGTTCTTAATTGCGCTTTTCCTGAATTCACCTGATATCATGAATGCCACCATTGTGTTATCTTTACCTGACTGAAGGGGGCACTGTGATACACATGAAAGGCTCACTGACACTACACCTACATACACAAGATGTCTACTTTGTAATACTGTATGTACACTCAATTACATGCCTATGTGGGGGGAAAATAAAGGTGTTCACTGGATAAGGAAGCAGAGGCAACTGGTAGGGCCAGATCCTACAGCAGTAGTTAAATAAATGTAAAAAATAATGATCTTTAAAAACCTGCCTTGCCTTTTCCAAAACAGCTGTATCCTGCAATCAAATCAGAACCTCAACCCGCCAAAAAAGTTTATACCACTTGATGCTGGAGTTAAACAGTCTGGATTTAAAACAACTATTACAAATTAAGATGAATTATAAAATATATGTCTAGATTTTGCATATCTTTGATTCTAAGCAATTGTGAAACTCCTTGCCTAACATTTATCGCAATTCCTTCATTTACACACACTAGTTTCATCTGAATATGCTTAACATGTTTAACTTACTTATTTTGGCATTCAGAAAAACTTGAAAAGTCAATTCCAACCACCTGTGGTTGACTCTGCTTTTGTAGTTTCAAGACTGAAGACTGTTGACACTGGAGCAGGGGCTTCATATGGAAGCATACATATGTAAAGTATAACACACATGAAGTGAGGGATGAGAAATTTATGTAAGAATGAGAAAACAAGGGAAATATAGATAATGCTTGCAGAACTATCACTTGTATGTGGAGGATCCAACAAATTAGAGATCCACATAAAGAAAAGCTGTTGACTCAAACTAAAAAAAAAATATACATGGTAATAGTTTAAATAAAGAACAAAATGAATATTTTAACCTAAAAGTCACATGTAAGAACCACACCGGTCATTGCAAAATGTTAAAAGGACCTTGCAGCCCTCAAACTCTTTGGAAGAGGCCAAAATGTCTTTATTAAACAATGAGGATTGCCAACATACTGAGGCACTATGGAAACTTCCATTTCCTACTCTCCTTCAGGGGCTGAATGTAACAAATGTGTGGCAGCCAGATGTCACATTTAATGCACTTACAATGAACATCTCAATCAGATGCTCACTACAGAACTGATCTGAATTCACTAAAGGCTATGAACAATACAACTACTGTAAACATCCAGTTCCTCACCCTTTTATTGTGCATTTTTATGATGATATTGCATCAAGCCTCAACAAATGTGCTTAGAACAAGCCTCCAGAACAGTTCTAAGGGGTGTGGTAGTAAGCCTCCAGAGAAGTTCTATGGGGTATGGTACCAAACCTCCAGAACAGTTTAAGAGGCACAGTACCAAGCCTCCTGAACAGTTCTAAGAGGTGTGGTACCAGGCCTTCAAAATAGCTCTGAGAGGTAGTACCAAGCCTCCAGCAGTGCTTAGGTGTGGCACTAAACCTTCAGAAAAGTACCGAGAGTATGTGTGGTGGCAAGCTTCTAGAAGCGTTGAGAGCAAGCATGGTACCAAGTTGCCAGAGCAGGTGTGGTGTGGTGCATCTTCTGATTACAGACATAGGTTTCATGCAGTGTCAGCCATATGGTACCTGCCATGCAAGTTTGCTAGATAAATGCTTAGCATTCTACCTCAATGCTTAAGTTTTGTGCTATGTAAGTTGCCACAATCATTTGCACTTGCAGACTAGGTGACCAAGTTCTTCCTTGATAAAATGACTTCTAGCCTAAAATGATAATCATATTCATGTGTACCTTGTTCAGAGTGATTCAGCAAGATATTTTACTAATATAAAGCAAAATTTATAAGGTTTATAACTCTTTAAAGATTATTACATTACATTCATGAGAAATAATGCTGAATTTTTGGTAAAGCATGGCATAAGAAAATTTTTTACCTTCAAATTGGTGACATCACCACGTTCTTGAAAAAGTAGCAAACTTGCTGATATATAAATTATGACATTTCAAGCTGCCAGCTCTGTAAAGTAACCCCCCATTAACTAAAACCATGCTGATAAACTGGAAAATAAAAATGTCTGAAAATAAGTCTTCACTGTATATTTGTAAAAACTCCCATTACTCATGTTTATTTAATCTTATCTCCCCCTAATTAATATATCTGCTTAACCCTTTCACTGTCCATCACATAGAACTACGGCACTGAGGCCAGGGTCCCTGTAGTAGTTCTACATCATGAGCTCAGCTCACTCAGATATGCTATGAGTGGTAAATTTTGGCCTAGATACGAGAGAATGGGTCTGTGTGGCGAGTGCATAGTATAAAAAAAATCCTGCACCTCACAGTGCATGAACACAGGAAATGTTTTAGTACCAGGAATGTCTATATTACATTTATTATGGACTATTTTAAAGTTGGCATTTTTTTTTTAATTTTGTGTAAAACTGGCCAAATTACCAACTTCTGTACACTTTAGATAGTGGTCAAAATAGCTGAATGGGCAGTCTTGTACTCATTTGACAATGGAAGTAATACTAACAAAATAGCTAAGAATTTGGTTGAACAGAACAATGGAATTGGCTTAAAATAGGACTCAAAGTGGGCAGAATAGCCAATATGTTAAATGCAGTGAGACTGCAAAGTTTGCACTTGCATAATTCTCCAAGTTTTCCAGAAAATTTCGTACTTTTGGTGTCATTACCTTCAGAAAAAGTATCTACCTTTTCAGGTAAAAACCAATAAACATTAAGAGCAATATTAATTTTGAGGGTCTAAACAGTGAAAGGGTTAAACAAAAGTGCCCTCCAACCAGAAACTTTTCTAAAAACTTAGAAATTGTCTTTTATTAATGTAGAATATCTGACTTGGAAAAAACATGACAAACCACAGGAAGCTTTTCTTCAACATAAAAGTGAAATGAAATGAGCTAAACAAGAGTGTGGAAGCAAATTCCATGCCAGGGTGGAAGGGATCAAAACGATGACAAGACTCAGTCACGTTAATCTTTAGGAATAAAGAGCATGACCAGGAGCTGGAGCTCATCCCACAAACTCAACCAGGTAACTAACGTCAGCCTGTCCACAATTAACACAATGCCAGTAACAAAAATGGCCCTGGGCCAAGCAATTCCAGTGCACATATTCAGAAGATGCACTACTTGTTTATATTCTCAAAACAAACTTGAGTGTGTAGGCTATGATGTATGAGAGCCTTAAGGTGCAATGGTTTTCTGGTATAGTAATGGATGTTTATTTCTGGGAGTGAAAACATGACTGTCAATACATAAAAAATACATACAGCGCAGTACAGAGATAGACATCATACATGTGACACCGCTATTTCCAGCAGCCTTGCGTACTGGAGCCTTGACTGACGGAACATAAATGACAAAACTGTCAAAGTGAAACTCAATAGCAGCAAACATTAAAAACATCTATTCAAGCTTAGAAGATATCAGTAATGGCCAAAATTTGGTACTAACTGCTGACAATATAATTATGGAAAAAAAAAAAAATATTGGTTAAAATGAAGCAAGGTTATGTTAACCACAAACACTGGGTGTGAATACAGACTGGGGCCTCCGACGGGATCATTGAGGGGTGGGAGGCCATGGTGGCACCCCTCAGGGAAGGCACCTCTCTCTGCATGGGGTCTACAGGTCTACTTCTCCATGAGGAAGCACTTAAGGACTTCAGTCTCCTTTATTATTTAAGAGATTCCCCATAAGAAGCTTGTACACATAATTATTGTTATTCATAAGTTCATTACCATAGCAGATCTCCTGAATTTTGAACATTTGGTGGGGGGATTCTCATAGTTAACTCAGGTTCCAGTCCCAAAATGCCACCCCTACTAACTGTTCTGGGAGGTGATCACACTTATGATCTGAGAGCATGCAGTTCAGTGTGACCTTGATGGCACCTCATGCCTCCCATGTCTTCACACAGTGTAGACTATATTTGGCAAGCACTCAGCCCTTCACATATAACAGGGCCTCTTCTATCTCTGGTAAATACTCTATAATAAACCTATGAGTACATGATAAGCATTCCTAATTAATTTGTAACAAATATAAGCCCAACACTTGCCATATTTTGAAAATGTGAAGTTCCTAGTGCCAGCAAAATATGAACTACACGAGACAAGTTGCATCGAATTGCAGCAGGTTGTTAAAAGTTTGGGCATGGGCAGCGCAGGATTATACTGGATGCTCACCAAGGCCAAGTGTGCCACTTTGCGCACCCATACATAACAGCAGCCCAAACTGACTCCTATGTTGCACCCAAAGTTAACTCAAGTTATTTTGTGAGGCATTACACTCAAATCATTTTTCATTAACAAAATGGCAAATACCTCTAATGTCACTCATGAAATAAACATTTCAGTATCTCACTGAGGGCAATTCCTGCTGTTCCAATTTTTTTTTTTTTGTAATTTTAGTGTTTAAGAAAATATTTCTTTGGTTGCCCCAACACAAGTAAAGTCAGTGGCTGTGGAATGAGAAATTCCTGGAACCAGAAATGCTACTAATCTCTGTTTACTGACAAAACACACATACGAAGAGTGCAATACCTCTTATTCCTACCTCGTAATGAAGAGTGCAATTCTACAATGAATCCAAAAAGTCGACTTTAATGGGTGTTGACAACCTCACATCAATGTAGAGGCACATGGGCTAACTATGTCTTTAACAAATGTGTGTATACTTCACTGTTATAAAGCCTCCTGCTGGCTCAGATGACAGAGCCCACACTAGAAAAGTTCTATGGGGCGAGACGGATAACTTGGCGCAATGCTGCTTGGCCTGTTAAGAGCCTGTGTTCACTGGCTGCAGCAGAGGCATAGCGGCGGGATACTCAATGACGGCTGGGCCCTGTACTTTGTACTCTAGTAACTGTGTGGTGGGCACGCCAACCAAACATCTGCCACCTCCACATCCACCACCATCTTGTTCTCATACATACATACATACATACACACACACACACACACACACATACTCATGCATGCATGCACACACAATATATATATAGCCTTCAAATTATTGATATTATTTAACAATTCTCATTTAATAAATTGATTTTAATTTCAGTACTCCTTAAAAAATAAATAATAACATTTACTCCTCTCATTTAGTTATATAAAAGTTGCCCAATTCCACAATAATATAACTTGTAACAAGAGACATGTTAAAACAGGTGGGTCAAGAGAAGTGGTGGTGGTGGGGGTGTGCAAGCTGGTGGTGTGGACCTGCGTGGTCCACACACACACAGTTGGGGGTCATGGCTGCTGCGGCTGTACAAGATGTGGCCTTCACTCGGAGATCAATGACTGACAGTCTTAGTTAATATGTGCCACTCAAAATTTAATCTTGTTACCATTGCACCATTAAGTCAATGTTTTCTTTTTAACATTCTATGGCCAGGTATCCAAGAGACCTTAACTCAATGTCCTTCATATTTTTACTTATATATCCTATTTACAAGATGGTATAAAACTTAAGAAAACTACCTTATGTTTACACTGTTATGACCACAAACACTTTCTGCTTTTCAAAGATTATAGCCACTTTTGTACCCTAACTTGACCACTACACATGAATCTCCATAACTCCCATTTAGTTGGTCCTTGAGTGCAAAACCCAGTACAGTAATAAAACCATTTTAATAAGTGAGTAATAATTAATAGCAACAATAAAAACCTACTGCAAATTTCACACTAAAGGACGGCCCTATTAGATGCAACAAGAATGGGAAAGACTATGGAACTTTCATGGCAGGAGTCCAGCCAAAAACCTAAAAACCAACCTCACCCAGCCTGGGAAGCCATGACAAAGCTCTCAGCCAGACGCATCGAGTCTCGTGAGGCAGACATTGCCTATCATACTAATACACAACAATCTGCTACTATACAAAGTATGAAAATTAAAAAAATTAATCCATTGTCTTATATAATCTTGTTTCAACATGTCTTACAATTACTGTACTGATGATGTTTTCATTATATTTTATATACAAGTCTCTTAGCTAACCATCATAACTAAAATCATGATACATAAACATTGTCCATAAATCACAATTCAAACTCAAAATATTATTGCTGATATCAGATTTAAAAACTGAACTACCATTAAACACATAACAGTTAGATTTCTGACAACATTCCCATTACTTCAACAAATGCAAGACAAACATCAAACGCAAGAATGCAAATTTATGAGATGCAGAGCAGCTGAGATGGATAAATTAATGGGCCATGTCTTGTTGCACAATGGCTCAAGCAATTCACCGATCATACCCTCTTGATGCAATATTGCATTTTCACTGGCACTGACACACACCAAGACCAAACACATGATGTCTAAGCAATTCCACTGGGGCCATAAATTTGATATTATCCTTATCTTCCAGCCAGCTAGCTGTTTCAATGTATGGTTAATAATTGCATAATCCTATGAGTTGCACTTGAGGACCCATTACATGTACTGCTATCCAACAGCTCAGCTAAAACATACAGTATTTATTCAAAGTACGTTAACAAAGTCCCTTAACATTCACTTCAGTCGTGTTTGGGTCAAGTGAGGTAAGTGACGGCTAGGGCAATTGCAGCAAGCTAGGCGTAGAGCTCTAGTCAAGACGAGAGGGCAAGACTTACGCCCCCAAGGGTACAGAAAGAGCTGGGAGAGGGGTTTGTGGCCAGGTCCCGTGGCCATTATCAGCATTCAACCTATGTCTGGTGCAATGAGCAATTCTAATTGGGTAGTTCTTGTATACAGAAAATTATTATAAAACAAGTTGCATTTTGGAGATTATTAAAAAAGAATTAAATTTGATTTTTCCTGAACACTTCAGTTGAGGATCAAAAACTCTAACTGCTAAGTTGCCCAGCAGTATCATTGCGCTTCGAGCCACACACAAGCCCAACGGTATAGCTGCAACGGTGCCTCCACTCACCCCCCTGCTGCCCTCTCGGCTACAGGTTGCCACGTGCCCACTCTTAATGTTAATTCTAATCTCCGTCCGACAGCTTCCTCTTTTGGCCTCGGTTCACATCACCTGGAAGGATAAACCTAGCTTTAGAGACATCGTACACAAGATCATTGCCCTACTTTTCATTCTGATGAGATGAAGTACTTGCTTGGAAATGATGTAAATTATTTAAGGGTACAGTAAATAGTTTCAAAATATTCAATGATGCCAGCTCTCTCATAATATTTTCTATACATTGTACAATCAAAAGTACTAGTACCATCACACTAGCAAATATCCTCACCAGAACCTCACCTACTTCACACACACACACACAAAAATCTTGGGCTTGGTCACAAGGAAAATAACAACTGCCATTTAAGACCCTACTTCTACTCTGTTCTAGTTCTCATACAATGGTAGCTTACAAGATGAACAAGTGCCCTATCCCTGCCCTTCCATGTGTGAAAAAAAAAAAAAAATGCTAGCACATTTCCATGTGATAATACTTCATTTATATAAATGAAAAATTAATGTTGTCACAATAATCCAGTGAACAAAATGTTGATAAAAAAAAACTGATTTAAACTTTATAGTCTTCCACACGTGAATAAAATGAACATACATGAAATAAGAATGAATTTGGTGAAAAAATCTGGAAAATAGTTTTGTGTAAATACAGTTATTACATCTGCAGATTGACAGCTCTAAGAAATTAACTGATTCTAAAGTGCCTTGCTCATAATTGTGGATAAAGTGGGGACCTGGTGCATAATCATTGAAATAATTTGATATGTATTAATATTCACAGTTCAAACCATGCCCCTGGATCATTCAATCACAACTGGTGAGTGTTACAGGTTGGTAAAAGGTAATAAATCACAACAATATTAAAAAGAAAAAAATACCTGAAATTTAGGCTGAAAATGGGTGGTTAGATTCTTTAGGCAACAGGGTCACAAACTCTGCCACCAAAGTACTGCGATTTAGCGTCAGGGACCTTAAATCCTGCCACCACAAAACAATGATCCAGAATTGGAGAAGAAAAAAGGGCCCTCTTAATTGGAGGGCACTCCAATAACCACAGAAATTAAATAAAACCAGCTACACTTTGAATATATCCCACAAAAAATTTACACAATGTTTATAAAAAGTAATCCTCAACTTCTTTAGCAAGTTGATCTGTATTTTATTTTTCTACATTACTATTTAAAAAATTATCGTGCAAGGAAGCACAAAAGTACGATAAATAAGTTGAACTACTAAAAATCTTACCGTCTTCCTCTTCCTCGAGAACATCGTCATCTTCACCTTCTCCTTCTGCTGCTTCATAATCATCATCACCAACCTGATAATACAAATGATAAACCTGTTGATAAAAGATACAGGGAACAAGTTCTATTGATGAGGTTAGTAAATAAAACTACCAAACCATATACAATCAGCTATTCACACTCAAAAGGTCACATTCCAAAAGGCTCCTGCAAATACAAAAACAACTACAGCTTCTCCTCACTTAGCGACGTACCTGTTTACCGACGACTCGGACTTACAACGGGTTCTCTGACCAGTATGCATACCCAAATAATGTATATAACAGCGGATTTCCTCTATTCTGTTTATTACAATATATAGTGCACTATTATTTTCATATAGTCGGACTTGAGCCCTGGAAATGGGAAGTACAATGCCTGCACTTTAAAGGAGGGGTTTGGGATATTGGCAGTTTGGAGGGATATGTTGTGTATCTTTATACGTATATGCTTCTAAACTGTTGTATTCTGAGCACCTCTGCAAAAGCAGTGATAATGTGTGAGTGTGGTGAAAGTGTTGAATGATGATGAAAGTATTTTCTTTTTGGGGATTTTCTTCCTTTTTTGGGTCACCCTGCCTTGGTGGGAGACGACCGACTTGTTGAAAAAAAAAAAAATAGTGCACTACTGTATAAACATTTAAAAATGCAGCTTCTCCTCGTTTCACAATGGAGTTCCGTTCCTAAGACCATGTCGTTAAGTGAATTCGTCACAAAGTGAGGAGCATACTATAATGGTATTGAGTTTGTGTCAATCATCTGTGATATTGTTTTAATGTCACCTCTGCACCATTTATAACATTCCTGGTATACTTTTAATGTTTACAGAGCAGTGTACTGTATATTGAAATAAACAGAATATACATTATTTAGGCATGAATACTGGTCAGAGAACCTGTCGTAAGTTTGAGGCGTCGGTAAGCAAGTACATCGCTAAGTGAGGAGAGGCTGTATACCAGAAATGTTATAAATGATGTAAAGATGACATTAAACAATATCAAAGATGGTTGACACAAACCCACTACCATTTTAATGTGCTCCTAAGACCACCAATGTGGTCTTAGGAATAGAACTTCATCATTAAGTGAGGAGAGGCTGTACCACTAAACATTGTATAATAAGTTTTGTTTCAGATTTGGTTTTATTTTGGGTTTGAGAGACCATCCCAGGGTTCTGGCCATGCCCCGTTAAAGTATTAAAGATGGATCTACCTGCTATATTTAGATTCACGTGAACATCCAAAATGAAAGGATTTGGGAATGTGAAAAAAAAAAGAAGTCCCTCCAAGAAAACACTGACCAGTTGTTGATCTGGGAATCGTGCATGAAGCTATAACAAAACTGATCCTGGAAAATACCAACGAATATTCAAATTTATTTGTGGGAACCTCTCAGTACAAGCACTGAATAATCAAAATCTAGAATATTGTAAATTTGGAGGACTGACTGTACTATGCAAATCCACCTGTATAATCCAGCTAAAACTCTTCATATATACAACTGCAACAATGTTAAGACATACTGGGTTGTACTCCTTGTAAAGTGCATCTAATGGGACATCTTCCTCCTCCTCATCTTCGTCTTCCTCCTCTTCTACCTCTTCCTCATCAATTTCTTCCTCCTCTTCTCCATCTATGTCATCCTCATCATCATGTTCGTTGTCACCCTCCAGGACCTCTCCACCATCATCGTCATCATTTTCGCCTTCACCCAACACCTCTACTCCATCCTCCTCTTCCTCACCTGTGAGAAAAGAATAAATTAATATGCATATTTCCTATGCTGCTTCCCAGTTTATTTTTTTTTCCAACAAAGAGGCCATATCCCACCAAAGAAGGGTGACCTAAAAAGAAAAACTAAAGTTTTTCTTATTTAAATTTAGTAATTTATTTAGGAGAAGGGGTTACTAGCCCCTTGCTCCCAGCATTTTAATTGCCTCTTACGATACACATGGCTCAGTTGCCTGAAGGTATTCAGGCAGCTGGAGCACAGATCCAGTTCCCTAGATCAAGAGCCCCTCACCAGCATCAAGGAACCTCCCTTGAGGGGCCTACTGAGCTAAAAGCAAGCATTTCATACCAATTCAAGACTGCAGATTTCTAATCTGAAATCAAAATTAGCCATGCATAATGATTTTTAGCTTACAAAATTAGTATTGAGTAGCTGAACACTTCTTTAAGTTGAAAGACTAACCACCTCAAAAACTATTTCCCCAAGGTTGATGGAAAGGAGGTTTTAACTGCTAGGGACTTTGGCATTTAACAGGTTTGTGTGAACATTTGGTGGCATTTTTTTTTATGTGCAACTGAAGTATGAGGTAACATTTATAAAGGTATTCAGGGAAACTGATTAGCCAAACTGGAGTCTTGGAGGTGGCAAGTACAGTGCCTGTGCTCTGGAGGAGGGATGGGGATGATGCAGTTAGGAAGATCATCAGAACTGTAATGTAACTGCACTTCTCATAAACATGCAAGATTTCAGGTACGTCTTGCTACTTCTACTTACACTTAGGTCACACTACACATACATGTACACGCTTATTTATTATACACACTCATCTGAGTTTCCTTTGATTTTATCTTAATAGTTCTTGGTCTTATTCCTTTTCCTTTTATATCCATGGGGAAGTGGAATAAGAATCTTTCCTCCGTAAGCCATGCATGTTGTAAAAGTCAACTAAAATGCCGGGAACAATGGGCTAGTAACCCCTTTTCCTGTAATAATTACTAAAAAGAAGAAGAAAACTGTCAAAGTGGGAAGTCTGAATGTGCGTGGATGTTGTGCAAATGATAAGAAAGAAATGATTGTGGATGTTATGAATGAGAAGAAGCTGGATGTCCTGGCTTTAAGTGAAACAAAGCTGAAGGGGGTAGGAGAGTTTCAGTGGAGAGGAATAAATGGGATTAGGTCAGGGGTTTCAAACACAGTTAGAGCTAAAGGAGTAGTAGCAATAATGTTGAAGGATAAGTTATGGCAGGAAAAGAGGGACTATAAATGTATTAATTCAAGGATTATGTGGAGTAAAATAAAGGTTGGATGTGAAAAGTGGGTTATAGTAAGCGTATATGCACCTGGGGAAGAGAGAAGTGTAGAGGAGAAAGAGAGATTTTGGGAAATGTTGAGTGAATGCGTGGGGAGTTTTGCACCAAGTGTGAGAGTAATGGTGGTTGGGGATTTCAATGCTAAAGTGGGCAAAAATGTTGTGGAGGGAATAGTAGGTAAATTTGGGGTGCCAGGGGTATATGAAAATGGGGAGCCTTTAATTGAGCTATGTGTAGAAAGAGGTTTGGTAATAAGCAATACATATTTTATGAAGAAGAGGATAAATAAATATACAAGGTATGATATAGCATGTAATGAAAGTAGTTTGTTAGATTATGTATTGGTGGATAAAAGGTTGATGGGTAGGCTTCAGGATGTACATGTTTATAGAGGGGCAACTGACATATCGGATCATCATTATTTAGTTGTAGCTACAGTTAGAGTAAGAGGTAGATGGGACAAGAGGGAAATGGCAACAACAAATAAGAGAGGTGAAAGTGTATAAAGTAAGGGAGGAGGAAGTTCGGGTGAGATATAAGCAACTATTGGCAGATATGTGGGCTAGTGCAAGTATGAGTAGTGGGGAAAGTTGAAGAGGGTTGGAATAGTTTTAAAAATGCATTATTAGAATGTGGGGCAGAAGTCTGTGGTTATAGGAGGGTGGGTGCAGGAGGAAAGAGGAGTGATTGGTGGAATGATGAAGTAAAAGTTGTGATAAAACAGAAAAAGTTAGCTTATGAGAGATTTTTACAAAGCATAAGTGTTATAAGAAGAGTAGAGTATATGGAGAGTAAAAGAAAGGTGAAGAGAGTGGTGAGAGAGTGCAAAAGGAAAGCAGATGATAGAATGGGAGAGGCACTGTCAAGAAATTTTAATGAAATTAAGAAAAAATTTTGGAGTGAGTTAAACAAGTTAAGAAAGCCTAGGGAACAAATGGATTTGTCAGTTACAAAAACAGAGTAGGGGAGTTTGTAGATGGGGAGATAGAGGTTTTGGGTAGATGGCGAGAATATTTTGAGGAACTTTTAAATGTCGACGAAGAAAGGGAAGCGGTAATTTCATGCACTGGCCAGGGAGGTATACCATCTTTTAGGAGTGAAGAAGAACAGGCTGTGAGTGCGTGAGGCATTACGTAGAATGAAAGGGGGTAAAGCAGCTGGAACTGACGGGATCATGACAGAAATGTTAAAAGCAGGGGGGGGAGGGAGGGGGAAAGAGAGACAGAGAAAGAAAGAGAGAAAGAGAGAGAGAGAGGGAGAGAGAGGGAGGGAGGGAGGGAGAGAGAGGGAGGGAGAGAGAGGGAGGGAGAGAGAGGAGGGAGGGGAGAGAGGGAGGGAGGAGGAGAAAGAGAGGGGGAGGAGGGAGGGAGGAGAGAGAGGGAGGGAGAGAGAGGGAGGGAGGGAGGGAGGGAGGGAGGGAGGGAGGGAGAGAGAGAGGAGAGAGAGGGAGGGAGGGAGGGAGGAGAGGGGAGGGAGGGAGGGGAGGGAGAGAGAGGGAGGGAGAGGGAGGGGAGGGAGGGAGGGGGAGGGAGGAGAGGGGGGGAGAGAGGAGGGGGGGAGAGAGAGGGGAGAGAGAGAGGGGGGAGAGAGAGGGGGGAGAGAGGGGGGGGGAGGAGAGGGGGAGGAGGAGGGGGGAGAGGGGAGGAGAGAGAGGGAGGGAGGGAGGGAGGGAGGAGGAGGGGGAGAGGGGGGAGAGGGAGGGGGAGAGAGAGGGGGGAGAGGGAGGGGGGAGGAGAGGAGGGGGAGAGAGAGAGGGGAGAGAGAGAGGGGAGAGGGGGAGGGGGGAGAGGGGGAGAGAGGGGGGAGAGAGGGGGGGGAGAGGAGGGGAGAGAGAGGGGGAGAGAGGGGGAAGAGAGGGGGAGAGAGAGGGGGAAGAGAGGGGGAAGAGAGGGGGAGAGGAGGGGAGAGGGGGGGAGAGAGAGGGAGAGAGAGAGAGAACTCATGGTACTATTTGGAGGGCTGGTTTCTTTGAAGTATCACCCAGTGCATTTTTAATTTGCATGTCTTTTATAGGGGTTGTACTTAATATGGAGCGTTTTTCGCCATATGCAGGGGTTCTCCTTTCTCTCGGTTCTCGTTTCTCTCTTTTCTCCTTTCTTTTCTCTCTTTCCTCTCTCTTTCTTCCTTTTTTCTCTCTCTTTGTTCCTCTTTTGCTCCGTGGTCTCCTTTTTTTCTCTCTTTTCCGCTCTGGTGTTCGCTTCCTTTTTTCTTCTCCTTTTCTCTTCTCTCTCTTTTTTCTCTCTCTTTTTTCTCTCTGTTTTGTCCTCTCTCTTCTCTCCTTTTCTCTCTTTTTCTCCCTTTTTTCTCTTTTCTCTTTTTCTCTCTTTTTTTCTGCTCTTTTTCTTTTGTCTCTCTTTTCCTCTCTTTTTCCTCTCTGTTCCTCTCTTTTCCTTCTTTGTTTTTCCTCTTTTTCCTCTGTTCTCTTCTTTCTCCTCTCTCCCACACCCATACCACAAATTCTTCATAAAACAAACCCCCCCCCCCACCACACCCCCCCCCACCAACAAAACCAAAGCCCCGTCCTAACACCAACGGCCCCAAGCACAACAAGCCCCCAATAACTCCCCAACCGGGGAACTACAGAATCAGCTAATCTAAGCGATATGATAGCAATCCCACAAATGCTGATATAAACCACTGCCTAAAAAAAAAAAAAAAAGCATTCTCAAAATTATAGATCTTGATACGCTGACAAGTCCAACAATTGAACAGCATGTACATACAGTAGACCATCGATTAAAATGTTGTTCCTTTACCACATTTTCTCCATTACACCACCGTAAAATTGCAGCATATTTTCAACCAACACACTGTAAAAGTCAATTAACAATGTCATTTCTGTGGAAAAAATTTGGAGCACCGCGTGCCGATTCGCAGGATTTCCCCCCCTCAATCTGGTAAGCTCGTGGGCAGCCTAACTGTAGGTCAGCCCACTGTCTTCGTAGGGAAGACTTAGCTTCCTCCCATTCCAAATCTCATTGGTCCATACATACGTGTCCCATACAATTGTCAGATCTGTGTTTGTGATCAAATTAGTCGATTCCTGCATACCAGTCAATACATGCAGTGTTTTCCTATCCATAAGTCGCTTCGACTTTTTTTTGGGTTATCCTAGGTAATTTACACTATGCATGATAATTTTACTTATGTGTACCTATGCCAAAATAAACTTACTGTGCTCAAATGTGAGCTTGCTGGGGACAATGTTTATATACAAATTGAGAGGGTAGACATGAACTGCACCTGTCCATGTGAGGGACCTTCCCAGTGTTTATATACCCTCTGCTTATCTTCCTTTGCATAATAAAGGTTAGAAGATGAAAGAAACCTGGATGTGATATGCATACAGTACCTACTTCATATACATTTGTGCATCAGTTAAGTTGGTACACTTGTATATAGTTTGTTTTAGGACATGTGCGAGAGTTTGTTGTTGGGGGTTAAGGACTAACAGCCTGAGCATCTCACCCACCCTTATACTGATATTTTTATTGAAAATGCAAGGGAAATGATAATTTTATCACATTCCTTTATTGTAATAAATTTATTAATAACAATTTCCAAGGTAGTAGACAGTAACTGCCCAGGGAAGTGCTGCCCTCCTGCCAAGTGAGTGTTAAACGAAAGCCTGTAATTGTTTTACATGAAGGTAGGATTCCTGGTGCCTTTTTCTGTCTCATGATCATGCAAGATTTCAGGTATAGCTTGCTACTTCTACTTACATTAAGGCCACACTACACATGCCTGTACAAGCATATATATACAAACCTTTCTGGGGTTTCTTCTATTTTTCTTACTAGTTCTTGTTTATTTCCACTTATCTCCATGGGGATGTGGAACAGAATTCTTCCTCCGTAAGCCATGTGTGTTGTAAGAGGCGACTAAAATGCCAGGAGCAAGGGGCTAGTAACCCCTTCTCCTACAATTGCATTATCTTTTTTTTTTTTTTTTTTTTTTTTACGATTTGGACCTAAAATAAAGTTTGCCATTTTTGGGATCCAATGAACATAACCTTATTTCCCCCATAGGTTCTTCACTTTATTTTACATGATTTTGTCTTGCACCGAAATTTCAGAACATAATTACCATGTTAATTAACAGTCTACTGTACATCAATTGTACAACATGCTTGAATTTTTAATAAACAATCCCTAAAAATGTGCATTCTTCAGTAACTAAAAATCCAAATATACTGGGTACATTCTGACCACAGATTTGGAATCAACATACTTGAATTAATAATGCACATATACAGTTACCTCAGTAGTAGAGGGAAAGTTCTGTTCCACTGTACAGGGTTATCTATCAATACCTCCATTACTACTTACTCTCCACCACAATTGAACATTTTAGAAACGTACAACATACAGTCAAACATTAATAAGAAATTAACTCACCATCTTCCTCTTCTTCACTGTTATCCTCCTTATCAAGCCTGTCAAAAAATATACACAATATTCAATGTAATATAATTTAGTTTAATCCCACAAAATGACCCATCCCAAGTCTGCCAAAATTTATTTGGAATTATTTATCATGAAATATATTTCAGTAATTTGTAATGCTCACTGATTTTAGTCACTGGAACATAAAATACCAATGAATAAGGCAAATCAACCAGTTCAGCACAGTGATGTGTATGTACCACATGCATAACACTGTTTAGTTATTATCCAGGCATGTGACACAGAAGTAAACACATTCACCATCACTTGCTCCCTGCCTGTAAGTGCAAACTTCCCAATCTAACAACTTTAAAGACCATGTTCTACAGAGCTTCAATACAAGCAGGTTTTGGACCACTATCAAATGTGAATGCTTAAACCCAAGGAAAAAGTTGAGAGCTTTGAATGGATTTGAAAACTGAAGCCGATTATTTGCAAAAGGATTGCAACAATTAACTCACCCATCAAGATAGACAAGCGAGGGGATGAGAGAAAATACTTTTTCTCTGTAGTTCTCTACCAATGACACCTCACAGTTGAACAGATCCAAGTTGAACAAAGACTTAAGGTTCTTCTGTAACAAGGAAAAATAGGATATGATTATTAATGATGCTGACCATCAAAGTCATGCAATAAAATGACTGCAATTAAAAAATACTGTATAAAGAGCCAATGAAACCTATTGCTAAAATGAAAAATATCACCAAATTTATACACCATCTTAGTCATCCTAAACTTCTCTCTTTTCCTTAAATACCCATAGTACCTCTGCCCATACTCTCAAAACATTACCTCTCCACTACCTCAAGCCTCCTCTTTGATGCAGTGTTTAAAGCCAATGTTTCACACCCATGGAAGTGTAGATACCACTACATTCAGGTACTTTCCTATTTTTTTTTATTAACACATCGGCCATTTTGCACCAAGGCAGGGTGACCAGAAAAAGAAGAAACACTTTTGTCATCATTCACTCCAACGCTGTCTTACCAGTGGCATGCCTACACCACTGTTAAAAAACAGCAACATATCAACACCCCTCCTTCAGAGTGCAGGAACTGTACTTACCACCTCCAGCACGTCAAGTCATAAAAACCATTCATCTCCACTCGATCCTACCTAATATGCTCATGCACACTAGCTGGAAGTCCAGGCCCCTCGCATACAGACCCTCCTTTACCCCTTCCCTCCAACCCTTCCAAGGATGACCCCTACTCCACCTTCCTTCCATTATAGATATATATATGCCCTCCAAGTCATTTCGTTTTGTTCTATCCTCTCAATGTCCAAACCACCTCAACAACTCTCTCTGCCCTCTGGATAATACTTTTGGAAACCTTACACCTCTTCCTAGTCTCCAAGCTATGGATTATCTGCATAATATTCACACCACACATTGCCCTCAGACACGACATCTCCATTGCCTCCAGTCTTCTTGTTGCAACACATTCTTTCCATAGATGCCTGAACACAATGCCTACCTTCTTCCTTCCCTGTATTCTACAGTTCACCTTATCATTCATAGACCCATCTACTGCCATGTCCACTCTGAAATATCTCAAAACATATACAGTGGAACCCTGGTTTTTGTCTGGTCCGGTTATCGTACAATTCAGTTTTCGACCACTTTTTTTTGGCGAAATTTTCCCAGTTTTCATACATCATCTTGGAAATCGGCCATACCAGATGTGTCCGCCTGCCCGCGGGACGTGGCCACTCATACATTTGTGACTCAGTCTGTCTCTATTACTTGTTCAATGAGCCTTACTCCACAAGTTCATCAGAAACAAGACCTTAATCTGGAGCAACACCAAACCTCAGCTGAGGAAACTGCTTCAGAAGAGGGGGAAGAGAGAGGGGAGAATGTGCCTTCTTCAGCGATTAAGGACATTTGTGCAAAGTGGAGTGAGGTGCAAAGTTTTGTGGAGAAATATCACCCTAACAAAGCTGTTGCATGCCGTGTCAGCAACATGTTCAAAGACAATGCCATGTCCCTTGTTAGGCAAATCTTAGATGCCAGAAACAGACCTCTCTGGATAGATTTTTTGTGCGACAGGGGTCCAGTGACTCAAGCTGGTCCTTGTGTCAGTAAAAGACAAAGAAGGGAAGTAACCCCGGATAGGGCTTTGATACCTGAAGTCCTTATGGAGGGGGATTCCCCTTCTAAATAATCTCTCCTCCCTCTCCCCTCCTTGCCATCTTCCATACGCCAATAAGAGTCTTCAGTAAAAGTCATGTTAAATGTTCATTTATCCATTTCATTAGTCATTTATATTTATTTCTCATTGTTTTCTGTATGTAAAACTATAGTTATTCTCTATAAAATGTATTTGTTTTTAATATTTTTGGGTGTCTGGAACGGATTAATTGGATTTACATTATTTCTTATGGGAAATATTACTTGTTTTCATACAAATCAACTTTCAGTAGACCTTCTGGAACGGATTAAAGACGAAAACCTGGGTTCCACTGTATGTACTTCATACTACCTCCCTAAAATCCAATATTAGATACCACATAAGGCTATAAAAGAATAGATTAAAAATTCACTTAGTACAGTACTTCAACAGGAGGAACAAGAGGTCACACATGCAAATCAAGAATGAATGGAGCCAAAGGTACACCAAGAAAAAATTATGAAATGTATCTGAAGATGGGATACCAAGATCATGCTTCACTCCTGTTGCAACAAACAGGTAAAAAACATGAAATAATTTGATTTTTTTTTTTTTTGTCCTTGATTCCTTGTATTTCATCTTTTACTAAATTAAGGTTTGAATTTTGCCAACTTGAATAGGACAGATAGTTTTGTCAGGCTCTTGTCCACTATTTCTTTTTCTAATTCCCCCCCCCCCCAACCTCCCACTACATTTTTTATATGCATTTTTGACTTTTTAATTCCCTACCTATTCAGAGTATTTTTTTTTTTTTTTTTTTTGCCTTAGCATTCTAGCACTGTGCTCAACAGTTCATTATTTCTGATGGTTTTCTTTTTCAAGATGAAGTGTGTTGTTCTATTTTCAAATATTTTGCAAAATGTATACTTCCAACTGGCATGTGTGAACGTGTTATATAGGAGGGAAGGCAAGTGGTATTTATAATTTGATGTGCTGTTGGAGTGTGAGCAAGGTAACATTTCTGAAGGGATTCAGGGAACAGGTTAACTGGACTTGAGTCTAAAGTGTGGGTACAGTGCCTGCACTCTGGAGGACTGGGAATATTTCAGTTTGGAGGGAGCATCTTAGCTGTAGTATCTGCGTGCCTCTGGCAAGACAATGATGGAGTGAGTGATGGTGAAAGTATTTCTTCTTTTTCAGGTCACCCTACTTCAGTGGGAGATGGGTGGTGTTAAAAAAAAAAAATTGCTTGTCCATAGTAACATTTCATTAATTTTTCTTTGAAATTATCATGTTCCTTTCCTATAGTCATGTAGTCAACTCTGTTTTGTGTTTTCTTTTTTCTTGCCTAAGTCATAACTTGTAATAACTATTATTTCTAACAGTCAGACAACTATTACCAAGTGGGTTCAGATATTTCTACTTTTGTAACAGATACTAGGTCCGGTTTTAACTGTATTCCTTCTCTGAGTCGAGTGTGCAAGTTTTCCCAATATTTAACCCGTAAACGGTCCAAACGTATATAGTATACGTTTTTTCAACATTTGAATGTAAAAAAAGTAGATCTTTTTGTTTTTTTTACATTTGAAAATGTGTAAAAAACTTTGATCTACTTTTTTTTGTTATATTTGAAAATATGTAAAAAAAAACGTAGATCTACTTTTGTAGCACTACACAAGTGAACGTAGATCTGCTTGGACCGTTTACGGGTTAATATCCTGTCTTCTTGTAATATCATTTTTGTTGGTTCAAGTAGAATTAAGCAAGATTATTTCTATGAAAAATCTGTCAAGTGAAATATGTGGATAAGATTCCACACAATAGGGCTCTCTCTGCACATATAATTTATCATTGGAAATGAAAACAGAAAGCAAAGATGATGGTGCAACAAGGAAGCTATACAAACCAACTTTCTGCTACAAAACAATTTGATGACAAATGCAGTCTAAAGCAGGAACAAAATTAATAGATACTAATTTGACAGACTGATTAATCATGATAATGACTCACACTTACCAAAGGTTCTAATGTTTCCAGGTCTTTAATCTTGTTTCCAGAGAGGTTCAAATAGGCAAGCTTGGGTAAGCAGGTGAGAGCATTCAACCCTCCAGAGATTCGGTTGTCGCTTAATTCCAACTTTGAAGGAATAAAATACAATCAGAGGTAAGAATGGGTTAATGTAACTATACATACAAATACAAGCCATCTGTTGCCAAAAAAAAATTAATCAGAAAACTTCAAAAACAGTCATTACTATGTATACAAATGAATGATAGAATAACTGTAATACTGTAATTAATTAGTGTATATTAAGTCTCGTAAAAATGAGCAAGGTGATGAAAGAAAAGTCAGGGCACTGACAGACCGAGTGTCAGACTAGGAGTATGGAGTAAGTGGAAGTATTTAGATATTTGAGAGTAGACATGTCAACAGATGAAAGATAAGGTGAACCATAGAATTGATAAGGGATGAAACAAAAAAGGGTATGTTCAAACACCTGGAAATAAAAGTTTATATATCTATGAAGGAGAGACAGAAAAAACGGAAAAAGCAAGGGAGGAAGGGGGGGGGGGGGATGATTTTTTTTTCTCCAACATAAAAGTTCAGCTTTATTGCACTATGGCCTTGGCTTCAGATTTTTGCTAACCAACATTAAGGCACGATCACAGAACATCCAACCGCACAAAGGCCTCACCTTGCGAAGATTGGGAAGCACTGGTAATCCCTTGAGAGAGGTTAGGCCAACATTGATGAGACTCAACACCTCCAGCTTTTCAAACTCATCTGTCAAACCCACAATGGACGTGCTCCTGCAATTGTCCAAATTCAACTCTGTAATCTGAAAATAACAAGTGTAAGTAACAAATGTTTACCATTTTTGAAGATAAACAAGGTAGTAAAAATACAAACATAACACATAAGCAAACACTAGTACATATTTATGAGAAAACATTTCCATCTTGGGACCTTGATCAGAAGAGATCAAGGTCACAGGACCAAAACATTTCCTAATAAATATGTCCTGGTGTGTGCTTACATGTCTTTCTAAACCAATTTGTTGGTATCTATTACAAAGGTTCATGACAAACATACCAGTATTGTACCAAGTCCTAAGGCTTGATTCTTGGCAATAAGTAACTAAGAAAGTTTTCATTTAGGTTTTAATGGTATGCAGATATTATGGGCACAAAGTGCACACTATATAGATTTAACCTAGAATAACCCAATAATCAATATGGCTTACTTCAATGCAAAGGTTACAAGTGCATAGGACCACAAAAAAGGGCTTATTACACTTTTGTGTAATTGACAGATTTTGTAAGAATCAAGTCTTAAAATCTTTTCAGAAAAATGGGTACTTTACAGTTAGTATACATGAATCTATGATGGGTTTCAAATTTTCCTACTGCCATGGCACAGTCCTGGTCCAGGCTTGTCTGGTGGCATGCTGGCCCATATATCCACAATGCACATACATGTGTGTGTATGCATATATAAATGTGAGTATGTACATATGTAGATACTGAATCTAACTTCTTGGGTAGATCTGGGAATATGTAGGTGGGAGAGGTTGGATTTAAGAGACTTGCCTAGTATGGGCCAGTAGGCCTGTTGCATTGTTCCTCTATTCTTATGTTCTCATAATGATGTTTATTTCTTTAAACCATACAAATATTGTAGTTTAAGGTATTAATACAATAGTAGGCACCAAAGAGTCACTAATAATGTAATGTATTTTGGCAACTAATCACAAGGCTCACATGCAACTTAAGAACTAAACATAGCATATTAATTAAGTAGGATTTCATGTGCAGTTAACTACAATCATAAGTACAATAAGGAATGTAGCCAATGACAAAAGGGCAATTACGAAAGAATTATACATTAAAACTTATTTTTTGGGGGTCGAACAGAAACGGTGAAGATACAGCAAGTTACAATACAAACAAAATGGGACAATATATGTTGCCAATTATGTATAGGAGTTGACAGAAGACTGTTAGAGAACAGGGACAGAATTGGATGAAAGCTGTAGCTGTTTGACATAGCATATTGCTGTCTATATTACATTAGGAGATAAGGTATTTTTTAACAATAGTTCTGAAAGAACTGGCAGAAAGGGTACCTTTCAATGCTTCAGGTAGGGAGTTCCAGATCTCATAATCCTTTATGTGCGTAAGTTTTCACACAGGTTGAGTCGGATATGGGGGATATCAAGTTGGTTTTTGTGTGTTGTATTATGCCTGTGTGTTCTGTTGCAGTTATCAAGGAAAAGTTTACATTGGAAATGATTGTCCTATACATAAAATAGGCGGAGTAGTACGAGTGTATATTGGGTATATTATGTACGTGTGTATATGTGCACGAGTGTGAGGCAAAGAAAGGAATGTACAAGAGAATAGTGGTACTGAGACTCTTATATGGGTGTGAAGCATGGGTTGTAAATGCTGCAGTGAAGAGGCTGAAGGCAGTGGAAATGTCCTGTCTAAGGGTAATGTGTGGTGTAAATATTATGCGGAGAATTCATAATGTGGAAATCAGGTGGTGTGGAGTTACTAATTATGCATGACAATTAAAATACTACATAGGTTTAGGTTGACCTAAGACAGATTGGTAAGGATTTAATAAATCTATATATAATATGTTAATTTTATCAATTTTGGGTAACGTTGTTAAGTTAGTTTTGATGAAAAAAAAAAAAAAAAAAAAAAAAGGTGCAGTATATTAATTCACAAAAAGCAAATATTGTTGCATACAGTGTACAACTAATTTGGGGAAAGTATTCTAAAAAACTGAATGGTTATACGTATATACAAGGAGCTGCACTCTAGGGTTAAGACGCCATCTAGTAATGCAGGAATATTATGCCCATTCTTCCCACATTATATTCATATTATTATAATAAAGAAGTGTTAAACCTACAAGGGTCATACAGCGCATTACATTCATAGAAAAGTGCTAACCCCCACATGAACCTGATTTAATCCAAAGATGAAGATAGTAGCTCTAATTCCTTGGAGCAATATCCCATCCTGGTATCAATGTACCACCCTCCCTCCCCTTTCAAGGAACCTTCAACACAGCTCCAAGAACACCACACAAGCAAAAAAATGGAGGTCTCATCTGCTGGAAATGAACAGCTAATAACACTTGTTAAATTTTAAAGGGGGCTTAACAGTAATGAGAGTGGCAGCTGGTTAGATCCAACAGCTGGCTAGTGAGGTCTAGTGGCTGGCTAGTGAGGTCTAGTGGCTGGCTAGTGAGGTCTAGTGGCTGGCTAGTGAGGTCTAGTGGCTGACTAGTGAGGTCTAGTGGATGGCTAGTGAGGTCTAGTGGATGGCTAGTGAGGTCTGGCAGCTGGCTAGTGAGGTCTAGTGGCTGACTAGTGAGGTCTAGTGGATGGCTAGTGAGGTCTAGTGGATGGCTAGTGAGGTCTGGCAGCTGGCTAGTGAGGTCTAGTGGCTGGCTAGTGAGGTCTAGTGGCTGACTAGTGAGGTCTAGTGGATGGCTAGTGAGGTCTAGTGGCTGGCTAGTGAGGTCTAGTGGCTGACTAGTGAGGTCTAGTGGATGGCTAGTGAGGTCTAGTGGATGGCTAGTGAGGTCTGGCAGCTGGCTAGTGAGGTCTAGTGGCTGGCTAGTGAGGTCTGGCAGCTAGCTAGTGAGGTCTGGCAGCTAGCTAGTGAGGTCTAGTGGCTGGCTAGTGAGGTCTGGCAGCTAGCTAGTAAGGTCTGGCAGCTAGCTAGTGAGGTCTAGTGGCTGGCTAGTGAGGTCTGGCAGCTAGCTAGTGAGGTCTGGCAGCTGGCTAGTGAGGTCTGGCAGCTAGCTAGTGAGGTCTGGCAGCTGGCTAGTGAGGTCTAGTGGCTGGCTAGTGAGGTCTGGCAGCTAGCTAGTGAGGTCTGGCAGCTAGCTAGTGAGGTCTGGCAGCTGGCTAGTGAGGTCTGGCAGCTGGCTAGTGAGGTCTAGTGGCTGGCTAGTGAGGTCTAGTGGCTGGCTAGTGAGGTCTAGTGGCTGGCTAGTGAGGTCTGGCAGCTAGCTAGTGAGGTCTGGCAGCTGGCTAGTGAGGTCTAGTGGCTGGCTAGTGAGGTCTGGCAGCTAGCTAGTGAGGTCTGGCAGCTAGCTAGTGAGGTCTGGCAGCTAGCTAGTGAGGTCTGGCAGCTAGCTAGTGAGATCTAACAGCTGGCTAGTGAGATCCAGTGGCTGGCAAGTGAGGTCTCGTAGTTAGTTTATGAGGTCCAGCAGCTGGTTAGTGAGGTACACAGGTGGCAGGGAGGTCTGACAGCTGACTCTGAGGTCACACAGCTGGTGGAGTATTTTTAAAGTTGGTTGGGAGGTCTGCCAGGTGGCTGAGAGCTCTGACAGTATGCTAAGAGGTCTGGCAGCTGGCTAAGAGGTCTGGCAGCTGGCTCAGAGATCTAGTAGGTGGCCGAGTGGTTTAGCAAGTTGTTTGGTGTGGCAGGTGGCTTTGTGGTGTGGCAGTTGGACTGGTGGTGTGGCAGGTGGCTTGGTAGTCTGGCAGGTGGCTTGGTGGTGTGGCAGATGGCTCGGTGGTGTGGCAGGTGGTGCAGGAGGAAGCATGCTGATGAAGACTGAGAGGTGAACAAGGTGTTGTGGAAGAGATGGTGATGCTGGCCGGGTAACACCAGCTGCCCCTACCCTCCCCAACGTACCCTGGCGTCTACACCATGCCCCGGGAGGGGCACACCCGCCCAGGGACGCCCATGGACGCAAGGGACGTCCCATACCCACCACACCTGTCAAAGGGACGAGAAGGATGGCCTATCACCGTATGACGCAGCTCACTCCTCTCCTCATTACCCGCCTTCCTACCCTCCTCCTGCCCCATCCTACCCTCACAACACATACCTTGGAAGGACTTCTGCCCCGTCTCTCCAGTTCTATCCTCTTCTCCATGACCGGGGCGTGTGGAGGGCGGCGTGGGACATAACCTGCCTGAGCAGCACAAGTGTTGGCGCGTCTCTCTCCCCGCTCCTCCCCCGCCACCTCCCCGCCACCTCCCCGCCTCCCCGCCACCTTCCCCGCCACAACCCAATCTTCCCCCGCCACTACACAAAGACTATCCTACCTTATTTTGTCTTATTTAACACCCTCATATACCCATTTGTGTGTTTTCAGAGGTTTATGATACTTTTTCCATCTATTTGATTCACTTCATTGTTTAATATGATAGATAAAAGCCCCGTCGGGTTTTGAGGGAGCGTTTTGCTAATGATGCCTTTCTTGTGATTTTACATATATTTTCTCACTATTTTCAATATACCAATAAAATTTTAAGCCTCACATTACAAAATTTATTTCTCTTATAATAAAAGGTATCTATTTTTTGTTAAGAGATGAAATTTATATACATGTTTCTATGTTTTTTTTTCAATTTCGACCAATTTCCAAATTAATTTTCACGTTATTCACGACATATTTATTGAAATTTACTCAAATAAACTTTAAATTGCTAAAATATCCTCGATAAAATATCTGTCACTCGTAATCTGCTCAAAGTTACATATATTTGTTTACGTCCATATACTTAATTACACTTTCAGAAATACATTATTATGTGTATATTCATTTTATTCCATTTAATTGTAAAATCTAATAAATGAACAATAACAAAATAAAAATCCATAAATATACCTCAATAGCAAGGAAAACTGACCTTTATAACAGGTCTTCCGTCTTACCAGGTGACCAGTAATAGAGAACAACTCCAGGTTAATATATATATATCTCATTAAAATATAGATAATAATAAAAATTATATAAAAATCCAGATGGTAAGATCGAAGGTTCACAGAGCGCTGGGATAAATTTCCCCAGAGGCGGGGAACTTTGACCAAAACAGCATCGATCTCGGGGGTAGAAGCGGCACCTTTAAAACAACCAATCAGAGGCCGCGACCGCCTCCTGCCTCCGTGACGTCATCAACCACACTATTCGAAAACCTTGCTCGACATCAAATTTAATAATAATAAAGACACTATACTCTCTTCAGCTATCATAACTTTGGGGCCCCAGTCCCTGGACCCATTATGTACCTCTTAAGTTTTTTTTGACTGCAGATTTTGCGAGAAGCTTATAGTATGTAGGGCATTTAGGGAGGTCAGTTTATTTTGGTCTCGTATCCATGTATGATTATTGTATTTATGTGTACCTGTGCTTAAATAAACTTAGGTGATTTACACATGTTATTATGTATGATAATTGTACTAAAGTAAGACTTGACAGGTGGTGGGACATCCTCCCATCAGAAGCAGGGGCGCCATGAGTTTACCTGGAGAGAGTTCCGGGGGTCAACGCCCCCGCGGCCCGGTCTGTGACCAGGCCTCCTGGTGGATCAGAGCCTGATCAACCAGGCTGTTGCTGCTGGCTGCACACAAACCAACGTACGAGCCACAGCCCGGCTGGTCAGGAACTGACTTTAGGTGCTTGTCCAGTGCCAGCTTGAAGACTGCCAGGGGTCTGTTGGTAATCCCCCTTATGTATGCTGGGAGGCAGTTGAACAGTCTCGGGCCCCTGACACTTATTGTTTGGTCTCTTAACGTGCTAGTGACACCCCTGCTTTTCATTGAGGGGATGTTGCATCGTCTGCCAAGTCTTTTGCTTTCGTAGTGAGTGATTTTCGTGTGCAAGTTCGGTACTAGTCCCTCTAGGATTTTCCAGGTGTATATAATCATGTATCTCTCCCTCCTGCGTTCCAGGGAGTACAGGTTTAGGAACCTCAAGCGCTCCCAGTAATTGAGGTGTTTTATCTCCGTTATGCGAGCCGTGAAAGTTCTCTGTACATTTTCTAGGTCAGCAATTTCACCTGCCTTGAAAGGTGGTGTTATTGTGCAGTACACTGACAGGCAATACAATAAGTGTCAGGGGCCCAAGACTGTTCAACTGATTCTCACCATATATAAGGGGGATTACTTATAGACCCCTTGGCTGTCTTCAACAGCCCTGGTTGTCTTCAATATCCCTGGCTGTCTTCAAGACCCCTGGCTGTCTTCAAGACCCCTGGCTGTCTTCAATACCCCTGACTGTCTTCAATACCTCTGACTGTCTTCAATACCTCTGACTGTCTTCAATACCCCTGGCTGTCTTCAATACCTCTGACTGTCTTCAATACCCCTGGCTGTTTTCAATACCTCTGTCTTCAATACCCCTGGCTGTCTTCAAGACCCCTGGCTGTCTTCAATACCTCTGACTGTCTTCAATACCCCTGGCTGTCTTCAATACCCCTGACTGTCTTCAATACCCCTGGCTGTCTTCAATACCCCTGACTGTCTTCAATACCCATGGCTATCTTCAATACCCCTGACTGTCTTCAATATCCCTGGCTGTCTTCAATACCCCTGGCTGTCTTCAATACCCCTGACTGTCTTCAATACCCATGGCTGTCTTCAATACCCCTGACTGTCTTCAATACCCCTGGCTGTCTTCAATACCCCTGACTCTTCAATACCCCTGGCTGTCTTCAATACCCCTGACTGTCTTCAATACCCCTGGCTGTCTTCAAGACCCCTGGCTGTCTTCAAGACCCCTGGCTGTCATCAACAACCCTGGCTGTCTTCAAGACCCCTGGCTGTCTTCAAGACCTCTGGCTGTCATCAACAACCCTGGCTGTCTTCAAGACCCCTGGCTGTCTTCAATACCCCTGGCTGTCTTCAATAACCCTGGCTGTTTTCAAGACCCCTGGCTGTCTTCAATACCCCTGGCTGTCTTCAATACCCCTGACTGTCTTCAATACCCCTGGCTGTCTTCAATACCCCTGACTGTCTTCAATAACCCTGACTGTCTTCAATACCCCTGGCTGTCTTCAGTACCCCTGACTGTCTTCAACAACCCTGGCTGTCTTCAATACCCCTGACTGTCGTCAATAACCCTGGCTGTCTTCAAGAAGGTGCTGAACAGACAACTAAAATCAGTACCTGACCAACCGGTCTGTGGTTCGTACGATAGTTTGCGTGCGGCCAGCTGTAACAGCCTGGTTGATCAGGCCCTGATCCACCACGAGGCTTGGTCATGGACCTGGCCGCGGGGGCGTTGACCCCCCGAAACATCCTCCAGGTATGCCTACATTAAACCATACCACGGGTGGGATTTGAACCCGCGGTCAGAGAGTCTTAAAACTCCAGACCGTCGCGTTAGCCACAGGACCAGCTAGCTTCATAAGATTCGTCCAACTAGGTGTATTTCTACGCCATAGGAAGGTTAGCATAGGCACCACTGTGTCCTCAAATGCAAATTTTTACAGACGAATCTCCCGCTAGCATGGCCGTGACGAACTCTAGCTCTAGTCCCCTCAAAGCCGTCAACATGACTCACGAAATCATAATGACACGATTGCAAACAAACCATACCACGGGTGGGATTTGAACCCGCGGTCAGAGTCTCAAAACTCCAGACCGTCGCGGGTTCAAATCCTACCCGTGGTATGGTTTGTTTGCAATCGTGTCATTACGATTTCGTGAGTCATACCTATATTACTTTCTACAGTAAAATAAAAAGAATTTAACCTAGAATAACCCAATAAATTCAAACTGGATTATTTCCACTGTGATCCTCTTATCATATATAGTTTTATTTAATATAGATATACATATAAATACAATCTTATTGTTCTGTATCACTAGTGAAACTATTACAAGTGAGGCAACACAAAAATGAATATATAGTATGAATATATTAAGTATGGGCTACTGTGGAGGTTGTTCCAGGGGGTCAACGCCCCCCGGCCCCGACCTTGACCAGGCCTCCCAGTGTATATATCACACATCTCTGTACTAACACCGTATCATGTGGAAATAAATCATCGATTTTGACTCTGACTTTCTGTAGTTTCATTCATTAGATATTGTGTGGCTGTGTTCTTAAACTGTCATACACCAGAAGTGACATTAACATGACAAACACATCATTGGAAATAAGTCACTTTGTCTGACTTTTGGGAGTGTTTATCCTAAGTGGGCAATCTACACATATGTTACTATGTATGATAATTTGTGTAACTGTATACATGTGTACTTGTACCTAAATAAACTTACATTAGTTCACCCATGGACGTAGCACGTCCAGTTTTCTATAATGTTCATTTTCTTTCATTCATTCTCAAAGTTTTGATAGCTGAGCAAGTTAATGTAAGATAAGATAAGATTTCGTTCGGATTTTTAACCCCGGAGGGTTAGCCACCCAGGATAACCCAAGAAAGTCAGTGCGTCATCGAGGACTGTCTAACTTATTTCCATTGGGGTCCTTAATCTTGTCCCCCAGGATGCGACCCACACCAGTCGACTAATACCCAGGTACCTATTTGCTGCTAGGTGAACAGGACAACAGGTGTAAGGAAACGTGTCGAAATGTTTCCACCCGCCGGGAATCGAACCCGGGTCCTCCGCGTGTGTGAAGCAGGAGCTTTAGCCACCAGGCCACCAAGTTACATTACCTTCCTAACTTGCTCAGCTATCTTGACTTTGTAACTTGCTCAGCTATCTTGACTTTGTAACTTGCTCAGCTATCTTGACTTTGTAACTTGCTCAGCTATCTTGACTTTGTAACTTGCTCAGCTATCTTGACTTTGTAACTTGCTCAGCTATCATGACTTTGTAACTTGCTCAGCTATCATGACTTTGTAACTTGCTCAGCTATCATGACTTTGTAACTTGCTCAGCTATCTTGACTTTGTAACTTGCTCAGCTATCATGACTTTGTAACTTGCTCAGCTATCATGACTTTGTAACTTGCTCAGCTATCATGACTTTGTAACTTGCTCAGCTATCTTGACTTTGTAACTTGCTCAGCTATCTTGACTTTGTAACTTGCTCAGCTATCATGACTTTGTAACTTGCTCAGCTATCATGACTTTGTAACTTGCTCAGCTATCATGACTTTGTAACTTGCTCAGCTACCTTGACTTTGTAACTTGCTCAGCTATCATGAGTCCCAGACTCAGTGCTTGTTTCTCGTAGTCGGTTAAGGTGCGTGACGATAAGTTGTTTATCAGG